TACCACATACTAATACTAATACCACATACTAATACTAATACCACATACTAATACTAAGTATCTATTAATATCACACTAACCTTTATCATCGTTCATAATGTTTACTGTCAACTTGTTCCGGGTCTCATTCACAGTAACATAGCTTGAGCCTTTTGTCATGGTTATGTAGAATGTCTCCATATGCTCTGGTTTATTATCATTAATTATAGATACGTTTATGCATTTAAACGTTTCGTTTAATCCAAAATSCACAAGAATAGAATTAAGGGGAGTGAAATCATCATTTGAAGCAGCAGTGCCCTGAACTGTGGACAGCCTGTAAAAGTACCAAATAAAGTTAAATCAAATTAGATAATGACACAGACAATCACGTGCTTGAAATTCGTGAAAGATAATTATGACAGTGATGCCACTTTTCAATCGTACATTACCAAAAAAAAACAGACAAAAAAACACCTTAAACCTTGGCGGTTCAAAGAAAATATAAGTAAACAAACAAAAATGAAATGAAATGAAATCCACCTTACTACTACAAATAATAATAAAAGTTTGCTGCAAAACACTAGATAAAAACACGATTTGATATTAATAGGAAACGTTTTTCCACCCAAACCCAAACCCTCTCACTCGTTATATACCAGATAATCATTTCATAATATACTCTAAAATATGATAATAAAAAGTGCCCTAAGCAATATGTCAGGATAATTTAACTTAATCTAAAATTTAACTACATCTGGTAAGGGTTATCAAGAACATCTTTTACCTTACGCTTAGTGCTTCCAAGGGGACTCCTCCTCCCCCTAGGTCCCTGGCTTCACCTTGTCTGTTCATACACACTGTCGCATTACCATCGCTCTCTGACACAGTTAGAGATGTCTTTGAAAACCCGATCGAAACTGTTGAAAAAAAAGCACATCAGATTCTTAGCATAAGACAACAACGAAAAAGGACGTGGGTCGATGCTAGTGCTTGTTTCTCTCTATCTGTCTCTAAAATTGCATTGTACGCATAAGTCGTAATGTCAGCATTGCACAAAAAGGTAGTTCAATGAACCAACTGGTGGTCATTAGAATCCGTATCCATCCTGCTTTCTCAGCTAACATTATCACTGAACATACATGCATGTATGATTAAAGCTATACAGCTTGCAAAGTTAACGTATAAAGAGCAAACCCTTGCAAATGATAAAATAAACTACGCTGTAAAACTACGGTGATACGCTCTAGTTAAACACCCCTTGTTTATAGCAGGTAAACGGTGTTGCTATAGGTACTACGATGGGCCCTTGTTACGCCAATTTGTTTGTTGGTTATATCGGAAACCTTGTTTTTCAACAGTATACTGGACCTAAACCTGAGTTTTTTGGACGGTATAGTGATGATTGTATTGGTGCTACTTCTTGTTCCCGTTATGACTTAGATTCTTTCATCTCTTTTGTTTTCACCCTGCCTTAGACTTTACGTGGGAGGTTAGTGAAACATCGGTCACTTTCCTTGACATCTTGCTTAGTGTTAATGACGACCGTCTTAGCACAAGTGTCCATTACAAACCTACTGACTCTCATTCTTATTTACTCTACTCGTCCTCTCATCCTTGATGTTAAATGTATGAATGCTGTCAACCCCTTCATGGACTCTCTTTGTCCTGTGGAGTTGACTGAGTTTGTTCCTGTCACCGAACTTGACTTGTCCAAGCTGGTTGGCAAGTCATTGTGCAAGTCATCTAGTCTTGATCCTCTGCCTGCAGTGTTAATGAAAGACTGTTTTGACATTTTGCTTCCTGTCATCACAAGAGTTACCAATATGAGTCTGAGCCATGGCGTGGTTCCTTCACAACTAAAAAGAGCAGCTGTCACTCCCATCATTAAGAAGTCGTCGCTGGATAAGGATACGTTGCAGAATTACAGACCTATTTCTAACTTAACATTTCTATCAAAATGCGTTGAAAAGGCTGTTGCATCTCAACTTGACCATTATATCATCCCTAACGATTTAGATGAAAAATTCCAATCAGCATATAAGCGCTACCACAGCACAGAGACTGCACTACTCAAGATTCACAATGACATTATTCGATCTATTGATGACAAAGGTTGTGTTTTGTTGTTAATGCTGGACCTTTCATCTGCATTTGACACTGTCAATCATGATATATTGTTAAATCGTTTATTCATCCGCTATGGTATTGCTGGTACTGCCTTTTCCTGGTTCCATTCCTATCTTAAGGGTAGGACGCAGCATGTTTGTCTGGATGGACATACCTCTGATGACCATGTGTTAAACTGTGGTGTTCCTCAAGGGTCAGTGCTCGGACCTATCCTTTATTCACTATACAACTCTCCGCTGGATGAGGTCATGCGTTATCACGATATGAGTTATCATTTCTACGCTGATGACACGCAGGTTTATTTGTCGTTTCAGCCTTCAATACCTGGCCAAATATTTTTTCGAGTTGATTTGAAAGACAACAAGAATTTACTTCACAATAAATCAACGGAATTAAAATAAAAATATACACATCAAATCAAATAAAAAATTCCCTTGCGGGCGGGCTWAAAAATGATACAGGTAGGCAGCGATCGTACTGTTTATTGACTAAAAATGACCGGACTGTTTTATAGTTTTATGGTTTTAATGGTTTTACATTGCAAGGGTTTTATTTTGCACTCTTTTACTCCGACGAAGTACTAGCGTCCGAAACGTCAGTAAGCTTTTTCATCTTTTCACGGTGTATAATGTACCTTTTTATCATTACTGTTTCATTAGGAACACCGACGCAGCTCACACTAGTTTTTAGATAGTTATATCTTTTGGTTTTATATTGCGGTAGCTATCATGCGAGCTATGTCGAGAAAGAGAAACAAGAGAAAATGATACTAATGATGATTCGAGCAATATATATCTGTATGATATATACGTAAAGAACGTATTAAATGCGAGTAAATATACACAGTATAAAATGAACAATCACGAAAAAAATATATAAATGAATAGTTGAGCGGGACAACCACCTCGACTTATGAAATCAGTCTAAAAAATAACACGAAAAAAATAAAAGTTTATTAACTCGAAAAAATATTGGTCCACTTTTAGAATCGAGTAACGGAAATAGCACGTAACTCGAAAAATAAGGTTCAATCTGTTGGGTTCGAGTTACGTAACTCGAGTTTGATTTCAACGCTGTTTCCCATCGAGTTACGCACAGATGTCAAAGTGGGCGTGGCCCCAAAATATGGGTGTGTCCGAGCGCGTAACTCGAAAAGTGTGTAACTCGAAAATCGTAACTCGAAAATCGTAACTCCAGTTTTTCCTTCCCTCAACTCAATGATGATAAATCTGAACTGTTAGTTTTAAGAGCCAGTCATCGTCCTAGTCATCAGTTAGGCTACCTTCTAATGGGTGATGAATACATCAAGTCATCTTCGAATGCTAAGAACATTGGTGTTGTTCTTGACGATACCATGTCAATGGACAGCCAAATTATGGCTGTATGTAAGTTATGGTTCTATCACATTAGATGTATTTCTCGTATTAGGCGATACTTGAGCCTTGAAGACACTAAACAACTTGTTCAGGCTTTTGTAATTTTTAGGATTGACTATTGTAATTCTCTGTTATTTGGCTTGCCCAATAATCTTCTAGATAGATTGCAGCGTGTTCTTCATTCTGCTGCTAGACTTATTACTTTGACTAAAAAATATGATCATATTACTCCATCTTTAATGGCTTGGCTGACGTCGCTTCTGTCCGTCCGTCCGTCCGTCCGTGTACACAACACAGGAATCCCGCTTGATGTCAAAGCAAAACTACTCACAAATGCCGCTCTTAGGGATGTTGGCTATTGTTGTCAGCGCGCACACTTACTGCGGATCTGCATCGAGGGATTCCAACGGGTTTCAAAAGCAAAACACTCAAAGGTATACGTACAGAAAACGTCGGCCTTGGAAGAATTAGGACCAAGAACAACAGCAATGACTATTATTTATGTAGTCAAACGTGTATTACAAATTAATTTTCAAGAATTCAGGTGTTTTTGGCGAAAAATCATATGTTTTTACTTTCTAGAAACGGCAGTTTCGATGGACTCGGATCGGTGAATAATAAAATAACTTTTTCAATATTTCCGTACAGATAAGCTTAGTTTGTTTTAAAGTTAAATGAAAATTGAAAAGGAATTACACATTACACCAAATATCAGCCATTCATTTAGCTTTTCCTGCGAGTACAATTACATAAAATTAACTTTTGTCGTTGGAAGACCTCGTATTTACATAAACTGTCTTTCACTCAATAAAAAGTATATTCAAAAACGTTCACGCAAAGAGCATACTGACAAAGAAAATTATTATTTAGATCTTATTAACCGAGCGGGAGGTCTGTACGGGATAATCTTGACCGAGGTCTGTACCCGACCGAGGTCAAGATTATCCCGTACAGAGCGACCAAGCTCGGTAGATAAGAGTTTTATTACATGAACACTTTTCATTGAAAAGGACAAAATGTTTTCGCCGTAAGATTAATATGCGATCGGACCTGTTAATACCGGAGAATTTAGACCAGTCCGCGATGCGATCTATCCAATCAGATTGCTCGATTTGCTAGTGTCCAGGCTCTAAGATTCACGGTCATATAATAAATTTGATATAAAGAGCACAAATAGTCGTTTATTTGAAACAAATTTCAGATAAAATCGATCAAAACAACTTCGTAATATGATTTTTTCCCCTTTCGTAAAAAAGTGCTTAAGTCATCGGTGCTTAACGTCAATTATCTCGCCAAGATGCGTGGGTACCCCCAATTTTTTTTAACGGATTCCAGTGGCCTCTTGGGTGGTTTAAATGACTGGCACAATTTGAAAAAAAAAAAAAAATGTTTCGCAATTAGTAGGCACCAACCTTAAATGCACAGAAATAAATCGCTTTAGGACAAGTTATAGACCAAAAACAATTTAAAAAAACTTTCCTGTAGTCAAAGATGGATCAAGAAGTGTTTTTCAAGAATTCAGGTGTGTGTTTTTTAGTAAACAATCGTATGTATATATATTTTTTGATAAGCATTTTTCTCGACGAATTGACAAATCAAAGACTTACCCTCAAAACTTTTAATATTTCTATAGATAAGTTTAATTTATTTTAATGCTGGAGGAAAAATAACACGGAGAGCATATTACGACAACAAATATTCGTCCTTTATTTATTTAGCTTTGTAAATCCTTAACAATTTGGTTGTTTTTAACCAACTGTGATACAACAGCGAAAAGCTTTTTAGATTTAGAGTATGTTTTTCGTTCAATAAAGATGCAGCTTTGTTCGTCTCCTATCGCGGGGTCCCATCGGCAAAACAAAGAAGACTTTCATTCATTCATTTCAATAATTTTATATCTTTCTACAGATAATTTATTTAATTCTTGAATGAAATATAAATTTACACCAAACATTCAACTGATTATT